GCCAAAGTTGACAACCTAAAACCCCACTGGATTAAATGTTTAAAGATACCATTCATACATACATGCTCATCAAAATGGGAGGTTGTAGGAAGCAGAAGAAGGGGAAAGATGACATTGACGGCTCTCGACTTTGTGGCCTTAGGCGAAACTCAAACATGAAGCCCCACTAGCACCCAAAGTGAAAAAATAGAATTGCATTTTATGTATTGAATAGTGTGTGCGCATTCTTTTTAGCTTTCTTTTTAGAAAACACAGTTAGTATAAAGTTCTGGAAGTAGGTACTTTGGTTACTTAGAAAACGTGTCTCAGAGGTAATATATACAGAGCCAATACACACATTTTGTGTGAGCATTGGACAAGAGGTCATCCATTGATACTTTAAAAAAGGAGATTTGCCTAAAGGAGAGGAAAGGGTTTAATAAACTATCTGCCTTGACAGGCTAATTTAATAATAGATTAACCCCTTAAGGACAAAACTTCTGGAATAAAAGGGAATCATGACATGTCACACATGTCATGTGTCCTTAAGGGGTTAAACATAGACAAATGCCAAAATGAACAGTTGACCAAATAAATTAAATCAACCAATTAAAATAGAGGAAATCGAAAAAACAATAGACAATCTAAAATTAGATAGAGCAGCATAGGCAAAAAAAAACTTTCCAAAGAAATGTTGGCAGCAAACACAATACCTATACTAAAACCTGACAAAAATCCAAATTTGATTACCAATTACCAACAATTTCTCTTTTAAATGAAGATATAAACATACTTGCTTCCATTTCAGCGAATAGATTGAAAGAAATGACCCCAACGCTCATTCACCCAGACCAGGTTGGATTGGTCATCCTTGAACCACACGGGAAGGGTTATTGGTATATTAGAGGCAGCCTACTCCAGTGGAACTCCTATGCTGATTCTGTCATTAATGTGCAACAGGGCCACCATCAGGGGGTGACAACCATAATGGGCCCTATATATTCGCACACTTAGGGCCACACGATGGGCCCTATATCTTCAGGGGCCCGGTCAGCGCTGTGGCCGTGGTCACTTCCTCCTAGCTCACACCGCACGGGAGGAGAGCGCGCGCCAGTGAAGAGGGAGAGCCAGGCAGTGAAGAGGGAGCCCTGCCGACTCCCATCATCCCCAGCCACCCTCCTGCAAAGAAAAGGTAAGAGACAGGAGGGTGGCTGGAAAATGAGCTGTGTGTGTCTGTCTGTATGTATGTATGTCTGTCTGTATGTATGTCTGTGTATGTATGTATATGTCTGCCTGTATGTATGTCTGTCTGTATGTGTGTATGTCTGTGTATGTATGTCTGTCTGTATGCATGTTTGTCTGTCTGTATGCATGTCTGTCTGTATGTCTATGTATGTATGTCTGTCTGTATGTATGTATGCATGCATGTATGTCTATGTATGTATGTATGTCTATATATGTATGTCTGTATGTCATTATATATGTATATATGTATGTCTGTATGTCAGTATGAATGTATGTCTGCATATCATTATGAACGTATGTCTGTGTGTATGTGTGTATGGATGTCTGTATGCATGTATTTCTGTCAGTATGTCTGTATATATGCATGTATGTCAGTCTGAATGTATGTATGTATGCCATTATGAATGCATGTCTGTGTATGTCTGTATGCCATTATGAATGTATGTGTGTATGGATGTCAGTGTCTGTATGTCTGTCAGTATGTCTGTATGTATGAATGTGTGTGTGTATGTATGTATGTATGTTGGTGTCTGTATGTATGTGTCTTTATGTCCTCATGCATGTGTGTCTGTATGTATGTGTCTGTCTGTCACTATGTATGCCTGTGTGTATGTTTCAGTATGTGTTTGTCAGTATGTATGCCTGTATGCGTGTATGTCTGTTTCAGTATGTGTGTCTGTTAGTATGTATCTGTGTCCTTTTGTATCAGTGTGTGTGTTTGTGTCTGTGTGTGTATTCCTGTGGTCGGTATTTGGGTGGTATTTGGAGGTGGGCCCCAGGGGGCCCAGACCCTGAGCTGAATTAGGGGCCCCAAAATTTCTGGTGGTGGCCCTGCTGTGCAACACAAAGTGGTAGGTCTAATAAGTGATGCTTGCTCTAAACACCTGTGAGGTATCCTCTACACCTACACCTTTAAATCATATATAACACACGAACAATAGGTGGAGCAAATAAAGGCAGAAGATAAAATACAATATAAATAAAAATATACTTCTCTCTCTTCTTACTTGTAGAAGGATAGAGCCATATATTTGACCTGGCTCTGGTGATGATTATTATTATTATTATTATTATGTTATTTATATAGCGCCATCAAATTACGCAGCGCTTTACAATGGGTGGACGAACAGACATGTAGTTGTAACCAGACAGGTTGGACACACAGGAACAGAGGGGTCGAGGGCCCTGCTCAATGAGCTTACATGCTAGAGGGAGTGGGGAAAAATTACCCAAAAAGGTAAGGATAGTATTAGACTAGTGACAGTTGCAGAAGAGGAATCAGTCGGGAGCTATTAACAGTTCAATTGCTACGCTTTTATGAAGAAGTGGGTTTTTAACGATTTTTTGAAGGAGTGGAGACTGGGTGAGTAGCTAACGGAGGAGGGAAGTGAGTTCCACAGGAACCGTGCAGCCCTTGAGAAATCTTGAAGGCGAGCATCAGAGGTGGGAGTACGGACAGAAGATCGACGTAAGTTTTCAGCAGATCGGAAGGTCCTAGACAGGATATAATTGTGTATATAGATAGGTGGGAGCAGCATTATGTAGAGATTTGAAAGCAAGAACCAGAATTTTAAATTAAGCTCTATATCTTATAGGAAGCCAATGTAGGGACTAACAGAAGGGTGTGGGTGGACAGGAAGATGAGCCTCGCCCCCGCATTCATTATGGACTGTAATGGCGCAAGTTGGGAGCACGTAAGACCACTGAGAAGTGGATTACAGTAGTCAAGGCGAAAAAGGACAGTGGAATGGACCAGCACCTTAGTCGCATCAGGCGTTAAGTAGGGGCAGATGCGCGCAATGATTTTGAGATGGAAATGTCAGGATTTGGCGATAGACTGAACTTGAGGCGTGAAGGAGAGGTCGGAATCAAAGAGAACACCCAGGCAGTGAACCTGCGTGGTGGAGCTGATGGTAGCAACGTTGACTTGGAGGAAGGGAGACACAGGAGTAACAACACTTGAAGAAGGGAAGACCAGAATTTCAGTTTTGGTCAAGTTTAGTTTAAGGAAGTGGGCAGCCATCCAGTTAGAAATAGCAGAGAGGCAATCAGAGACACTAGTCAAGAGGGACGGTGAGAGATCAGAAGAGGACAGGTAGATTTACATGTCATCTGCATAGAAATGATATTGGAAGCCAAAGGAGCTAATGAGTTTACCAAGGGAGGTAATATAGATGGAGAATAGTAGGGGACCAAGGACTGAACCTTGGAGGACACCAACAGAGAGGAGTTGGGGAGAAGAAGCAGAGCCAGAGAAAGAAACACTGAAAGAGCGCTGAGAGAGGTAGGAGGAGCACCAGGAGAAAGCAATATCTTGTAGACCGATATTGCGGAGGATGAGAAGAAGCTGTTGATGATCAACAGTGTCAAAAGCCACAGACAGGTCAAGGAGAATTAGGATAGAGTAGTGACCATGATATTTTGCAGTGAGTAGATCATTGGATACTTTGGTCAGTGCCGTTTCCACAGAGTGCTTAGCGCGGAAACCAGACTGAAGCGCGTCTAGCAGAGAGTTGGACTCGAGGAAGTCTGTCAATCTCGCATACACAATTCTTTCAAGGATCTTGGATGCAAAAGGCAGTAGCGAGATAGGACGGTAGTTGGATGGGGAGTTAGGGTCAAGGTTGAGCTTCTTTAGAATTGGGGTTACAGTTGCATGTTTGAAGGGCGATGAAAATATACCAGAGGAGAGAGAGAGATTGAGAATTTTAGTTAGAGGTGGAGAAAGAGAAGAAGACAGAGTACAGATGACATGCGAGGGAATTGGATCTAGGGAGCAGGTGGTGGGGTGGGAGGACTGGAGCAGAGCAGAAACCTCTTCCACTGTAGCGGGTGCGAATGAACATAGAACAGCAGAGGGAGTGAAGTTAGGGAAAGTATTGTAATGGAAAGAAGAAAGATTAGATAAATCTTCCCTGATTGTAGAGATCTTGTCAGTGAAGTGAGTTGCAAAGTCTGAGGTGGTCAAGTTAGTAGGTGAGGAACAACAGGGCGAGGAAGAGAGTTAAATGTGTGAAATAGTCGTTTGGGTTCGCGGGAGAGTATGGTTATGAGGGTATTGAAGCAATTTACTTTTGCAGAGGAAAGAGCCAAGCTGTGTGAGCTCAGGGCCGGCGCTACCTGTAAGGCGACCTAGGCAGCTGCCTAGGGCGCACCTTAGCAGGGGGCGCCGGAGCATCCGGAATCACAGGTGCGGCTCCTCATGCAAAAGCGCTCAGGCGGCACAGCACTGCTGTATGGAGGGCGGCCGGATTTGAGTGACCAGCAGGAGGGAAGCGCAGAGCGCAGAGGACTACTGAGGGAGGGGGGGAGTAAGGACCACTGGGGAGGATGAGGGGGAGTAAGGACCACTGAGGTAGAGGGAGGGGGAAGTAAGGACCTCTGAGGGAGAGGGAAGGGGGAGTAAGGACCACTGGGGGAGGAGAGGTAGAGGGAGTAAGGACCACTGGGGGAGTATCCAGCTTCCAAGGCCAGGATCCAGCTTCCAGTGGGTGAACCTCTCCTAAATCCAGAGAGCAGGAACCAGGAACAAAACAAGCTATTGCAAGAGCTTACTCTGGGGAGTAAGTAATTATCCCATCCCCCAAACATGAGCCAAGGCTTCAAGAAAGGTACAAGATGATCTGGCTTTAATGACCACACACTGGCTTTTATGCAAGTCCCCATGCAATGGGACATCCCACAGGGTGGGACACAGTATAACCAATCACAGACAATACAAACAAAACACTCCCACAGTGACATCACAATCCCTCATCTCTATCCTGGAGATAATTGGGAAGTAATCAACTTATCTCCCAGGACAGAGGCAAGACTCCATTAACCACATGGTTACAAAAAGACATAAAATTACTCAATGTTACATTTACTACATAAAACATATACCTACAACATATCCCCAGGTAGCTTAGATCTGAGTGCACATTATTATTGAATGGCGCTCAGATCACATACATACAATTCAATCGCCATGGAGCCAAAGTCTTTTCCATAGTCTTTCGTTACACAAATTGGCTCCATGGCATAGCTATCTGGGGTAGCACTACTTACATACTGGAAGTCCCGAACAACCCGGCAGAAATACCCAAATAAACCTTATTGCAGGGTAAAATACAGCTATCAGCACAGGGGCCATAGTCGGAAGGCAAGAGGCTAGCCAGTAGTCCCCTCCAGGTACAAGTGGCGAAGGGCACTTCATCACAACCAGGGGGGGGCGGTAGATGATAGCAATTCTTAAAGGAGTGGGTTTAAATAGGCAGACAGTGTGAACTTTAAAAGAAGAAAAGGATAGGGCAGGGGGAGTTAAAAGGTACATTGAGGGGAGAGAGGGATGCTTACACCGCCTCCTTTACAGTTGAGTCTGGGAGTGTGAATTGTAGCCCACCAAAACATAAAGAGGCAGGAGTAGCACTATCAAAGGGGGACAGCCAGGTCTCTGTAAGTGCAAGCAGTGTGAGTGAGTATGAGATGAAAAAGTCGTGTATGATTTTAAATTACTGCAGATCTCCTTAGGATCTTTTTAGGGTGATCTAAATCCGCTTGATGGATGTCCTGAAGCAGTGAGGGTGTTTCTTCCCAAGGATAGGCAGCAGAGGTGGATATGTGTTCCAAAATAAATTTATTAATAAATACACAGAATTAAATACTATATAAAGTAGTAGTTAAAAAGTCCACAAATGTCCAATTAGTGCCAAAACGCGTTTCGCAGAAAAGTGGCTTCCTCAGTTGGCATGGATAACGCTGTTCCGTCTTCCGGTTCCTTAAATATCTGTCTCGCTTGTAATTTTCGCTGTCTTTTTTGTGGTGGAATGCATCCTGCATCCTGCGTTCCACCCGCGACTTCCTGTTTCCTCATGTTGTTTCCTCTCATGTGTGCTCTCTATCTTCTATGGTGAGACGTGTCCTGCCATTTACTTCCTGATTCTCTGTGTACCGTGTTTCCCCGAAAATAAACCCTACCCCGAAAATAAGCCCTAGTCGGATTTTCGGGGTGGGCTGCAATATAAGCCCTACCCCGAAAATAAGACCTAGGCATTGTACCTTTGCGGCAAGACTTCCTTCTTCTGCTGTAGGAGGAGCGTCGCGCAACGTGATGACGACATTTTGCAGCGCCGTCAGTCTGCCTTCACGGATCTTCAGCGGAAGGATCCATTTCCGGACGGTGAGGCTCCCAGTGGTCGGACTCGGCAAGGAATCTTTGAAATGTGAGTACCGCTAGATATTTTATGTCTGGGACTGAATTAATTAAAGGGGGCGGGGGGTGACTTAATTAAAGGGGTGGTGAATTAATCAAAGGGTGGGCTGGATTAATTAGAGGGGGTGAATTAATTAAAGGGGGGTGAATTAATTAAAGGGTGGGCTGGATTAATTAGAGAATTAATTAAAGGGGGGTGAATTAATTAAAGGGTGGGCTGGATTAATTAAAGGGGGTGAATTAATTAAAGGGTGGGCTGGATTAATTAGAGGGGGTGAATTAATTAAAGGGGTGGTGAATTAATTAAAGGGTGGACTGGATTAATTAGAGAGGGGTGAATTAATTAAAGGGTGGGCTGGATTAATTAGAGGGGGGTGAATTAATTAAAGGGGGGTGAATTAATTAAAGGGTGGACTGGATTAATTAGAGGGGGTGAATTAATTAAAGGGGTGGTGAATTAATTAAAGGGTGGGCTGGATTAATTAGAGGGGGTGAATTAATTAAAGGGGTGGTGAATTAATTAAAGGGTGGGCTGGATTAATTAGATGGAGGTGAATTAATTAAAGGGGTGGTGAATTAATTAAAGGGTGGGCTGGATTAATTAGAGGGGGTGAATTAATTAAAGGGGTGGTGAATTAATTAAAGGGTGGGGTGGATTAATTAGAGGTGGGTGAATTAATTAAAGGGTGGACTGGATTAATTAGAGGGGGTGAATTAATTAAAGGGTGGGCTGGATTAATTAGAGGGGGGTGAATTAATTAAAGGGGTGGTGAATTAATTAAAGGGGTGGTGAATTAATTAAAGGGTGGGCTGGATTAATTAGAGGGGGGTGAATTAATTAAAGGGTGGACTGGATTAATTAGAGGGGGTGAATTAATTAAAGGGATGGTGAATTAATTAAAGGGTGGGCTGGATTAATTAGAGGGGGGTGAATTAATTAAAGGGGTGGTGAATTAATTAAAGGGTGGGCTGGATTAATTAGAGGGGGTGAATTAATTAAAGGGTGGACTGGATTAATTAGAGGGGGTGAATTAATTAAAGGGTGGTCTGGATTAATTAGAGGGGGTGGATTAATTAGAGGGGGGTGGATTTATTCAAGGGGGGGTGGATTAATTAAAGGGGGGGTTCAATGTACATACCGGTACCGTAAATAAATAAGCCCTACCCTGAAAATAAGCCCTAGTGTGTTTTTTGTGACTAAAATTAATATAAGACCTGGTCTTATTTTCGGAGAAACACGGTAGTAGTGCAGATCACGTGTATTTAATCCAATCACGTGTTTGTTGATGTCAGCTTAGATGGAACGCATATTGCTTTTCAATTACTAGTGGGCAGGAAGTTTCGGTGAAAAATGTATATATATATAGACATCACAGCATTGTAAACAACATTTCTACACAATAACATACATTTTAAAATCATTCAATTAAAATATACAATACGTTTTCTTGCTTTCACTATATATTCACCATAAAGGACATGTAAAATAAAAAATACAGTAGTTAAAAGAGACATTTTAGTTCTTATATGCATGTGTGGTTAAGAGAGAGAGAGATATACATACCAAAACCATTTTTGCCTATATAAAAGGAGGTATAAAAATAACAATCATTAGTGACTTGGTACAAAAAAGATTCTTCTTAAAGAGACAGAATTACAAAATAAAATACAATTTTACACAATTTTGAGCCACCATAATGTGAAAAAGGAAGGTGAATGGTGAAAAGGTGCATATTCTTAAACCATAATAATAAAAGGGCTGAATCTGGGTTACTAAAAACTAAATAATAAAATTTTTAAATAATTTAAATATTGAATAATTTAAATGGTATTACCTGAAAGGTTTTTATGTTAAGAAATGGCATAACTCAAAATCTTGGTTCAGACCATGAGGGGTGAGTGTCTTGAAATTATAGATACACTTCACTTCATTTTTTCTTTTCCTATTTTTCTATTGAAATCCCCTCCTCTCCAGTTTTTCTGTATTAGTTTGATGGCGGCAAAGAAAGTGCTTTTTGGATTACAATTATGATGTGTTTTGTAATGCTCAGAAATACTGTGTGTTTCAATCCCTTTTTTAATATTTCGTACATGTTCCGATATTCTTATGTGCAAGCATCTAGTGATTCTCCCTACATAAATGAGGTTACAAGGGCACTTTAAAATTTAAATAATATTTTTTTTAAAGTAGTTAAATTGGTCTTTAATATAAAATACTTTATCGTTCTGGTAGTTAAAAGATGCTATATGTCTCTTTTTCTGACTATTTTCTCTGCAGGCTAGACAAGAGCCGCATCCATAAAATCCTTTACTATTGTTTACAAAGTGTTTTTTATGCTTTGTTTAAAACTGCTTTTTACTAAAAATAGTTTTATGTTTTTGCAACCTCTATACACTATTTTCGGTTCGGGAGGTAATATCTATTTTAAAATAGGTTCCTCTTGTGAAATAATACTGTATAGAGACCCGACATCGCATGTAACTAGAAGATAGTGGTCTTGCCACTCTATTTCTTCCAAGATTTAAAGCATATGAATGGTATCCTTCAAATATGAAGGATTTTTCACAACTATAGGTTGTAAAAGACAATCTATGTACTCAAAAACCTTGGAAGAAACGGAGTCTATCCCGGAGATGATCGGTCTTTTTTCCTTGTTCCTATGTACTTTAGGCAAGTAATAAAACACCGGGACTTTCGGATGTAAAATCAATAAATATTTTCTTTCTTCCTCTTTTAAAATACCTAACTCAAGTCCTTTCGCTATGTAAATACTAAATTAACTAGGTGTTAGTGTCTAGGAGGATCCTTTCTGCTTCTAATACATAATCATCTTTCTTTAAGATCACTTCACCTCCTCCCTTATCCGCCGGCTTAATGATAAATTCCTCTTCTTTCTTCAATTCATTTAGAGCTTTTTGTTCTGCCACTGATAAGTTTTTTTGAAACTTATTAGTTTTTTTGATATTCTAAGCTTCTCTCATTATAATTTTTTCAAATGTTTTCATCTTATCTGAAACCATAAATTTCTGGAAAAAATTAGACTTTTGTTTCAGGTCTGTTTTAATGAACTCTGCATTAACCTCATCGGTGTCCGTATCTTTGTTAAAAAAAAAATTTCTAGGGATAGTTGCCTAATAAACTTATTAACCTCAACAAAAAATTTTAATTTGTTAAAATCTGCTGTTGGAGCAAATTTCAGTCCTCTTTGTAAAATTTTGATGTGGTCTTCCTTAAGTGATGCTCCTGTCAGATTAAAAACACATAATCAGCCCTTTTATTATTATGTTTTTTTTTTTTTTTTTTATAATTCTTTATTTTTGTTGTGCACAATATTAACAAATAACCTTGGTGCGCCACAACAGCAACATCAGGGTGAATTGGTGAACATTTGCAATACAAGTTGTGGCATTCGCTAGACAGGCACATTTTTATGTTAGAGAAATCAGTATTCCAATAGTTTAGGTTCACGTTTAGGTGGGTTAGCGAGATACACATGTCAGGAAAGGGTAAACAGAGGAATGACATAGATACGAAGCATGACATGAGCAATCATTGTATGAACACGGCTTTACAACGTAGTATATGCTAGGTTGATTCTATCCCAACTCTTGTCTGGCTAAGCAGGGAATAAGTGATTGCATATTGCTCTAGACTTAAACCAGAAATAAGCCTACAGGAAGCATATAACAGGCATGTGTGAAAATACTACTGATTTGAGGTGTTCTAAACAAAGGAATTAAAAGTAAAAATAAAAGTGAATGCAATCAAAGTTATAACATGTTAGCAAGGTAAAGCTGGCTGATACCCTGGCTACACTTGGTTTGGTATGATTCTACACAGGACCCTTAGCCTATGCCACTTAGAGTCCAAGTCTGATGAGGTAGCTTGGTACCGGGTTCTGCCTCCCCTTCTTGCTCTTTCCATGTGCGGCGTCGAACTAGGAGAGATGATGACCTCCATGGGCCGACGTTCTTGTGTGCCAGGCAGCTTAAGGGGACTATCTCTGGGTCATGCTGCTCCTGCCGAGGGAGTCTGGAACTCCATGGTCGAGGTGGGTAGTAGCGTCCGTGCTGCTGGGCTTGTCTTATGAGCGTTGTCTGCCGCTGTGGCTTCTTGCGCTTTCTCGCTTTGTTGGCCATGCGGGGGGGGTGGTTGTGTATATGCTTGCCGCTTCGTGTAGTAGGATGACCCCCAGGACCCGCTTGCCTTTCAGCAGGCGTATAGAGTGACTCTCTGGGTTGCTCTCCTTCAGGAGATTCATTTGGTGTCGCTTCAATAAGAGCCTCCAATTTGGCCCAGAAATCAGCAAAGGTCGCATCTAGTCGCTCCAGCACATAGTCAGCCGCACCTCCTCGTGTCTCTATGGGCTGATTCAGACCCGGCTGGTGGAGCAGAGACCTGGCCGCCATCTTAGGTGAGTCAGCCACGATCAGGCGTCGTGGTATGATAGCTGTGTAGGGTCGACAGAGGTGCCAGCCAGTGGATACCGGGATAACCCCCACCGGTCCAGAGGGGGGGGGGGAGAGAAGATAGCTTCGTTCACCGGGACCACCTAGTAAATGAAGGAGCTCGGAGAGCGGCCGTCTCTCCAGAGCTCAGGCTTGTGTAGGCCGCTGGCCACTATCAGGACGTACCGGGTCCAGACAGGCTCACAACGAGTATCCTCCGGTGCACCAAAGACCCATTGGCAATATGAGTGCTTATTGTAGTCTGATTGATGGGTGGCCCGGGTGTAAATCTTGATTTATTGGGGCCAGATGCAGGAGCTCTTGCAGAGCACGTCTGGCTTCCTTGGCAGTCAAGCTCCGCCCCCTTATTATTATGTTTTAAGAATATGCACCTTTTCACTATTTACCTTCCTTTTTCACATTATGGTGGCTGAACATTGTGTAAAATGGTATTTTATTTTGTAATTCTGTCTCTTTAAGAAGAATCTTTTTTTTTTGTAACAAGTCACTAATGATTGTTATTTTTATACCTTCTTTTATATAGGCAAAAATGGTTTTGGAATGCATATCATACCTCTTTTAACCACACATGCATAAAAGAACTAAAATGTCTCTTAACTACTGTATTTTTTATTTTACATGTCCTTTATGGTGAATATATAGTGAAAGCAACAAAACTTATGGTATATTTTAATCAAATGATTTTAAAATGTATGTTATTGTGTAGAAATGTTGTTTATAACGCTGTGATGTCTATATATATATATACATTTTTCACCACAAAAAAGACCGCGAAAATTACAAGCGAGACAGATATTTAAAGAACCGGAAGACGGAACAGCGTTATCCATGCCAACTGAGGAACCTACTTTTCTGCGAAACGCGTTTTGGGACTAATTGGACATTTGTGGACTTTTTAACTACTACTTTATATAGTATTTAATTCTGTGTATTTATTAATAAATTTATTTTGGAACACATATCCACCTCTGCTGCCTATCCTTGGGAAGAAACAACCTCACTGCTTCAGGACATCCATCAAGGGGGTTTGGATCACCTTAAAAAAAGATCCTAAGGAGATCCACACCAGAGCCAGGTCCAATATATGGTTCTATCCTTCCACAAATAAGAAGAGAGAGAAGTATATTTTTTATTTATATTGTATTTTATCTTCTGCCTTTATTCGCTCCACCTATTGTTCGTGCGTTATATATGATTCTGTCATTAGATGGCAAAAAAGCCTTTGACAAGGTCAGCTGGAAATTTTTAGAACAAACTCTTATAGCTGATCTTTAACGCAGTTTTATCACTAAATAACACCCCGATGGTAAGATTCATTGGGACAGGAATCCATGCAGACTGGTTCCAGATAACAAACAGTATTAGACAAGGGTGTCCCCTGGCCCCATTATTGTTTATTTTAATTTTAGAACCACTTGCAGCAGATATAAGACAAAACAAAAAAATAGAAGATTTTACATATTGGCAAGTGCAAACAAAGATACACTTGTATGCAGATGATATTCTGGTGACGGTGCAACAACCAAACACTTCACTAGCTGCCCCACTGAGAGAGGTCTATAGTTATACTAAATACTACTACAAATTAGGCATTGTACTAACTACAAATTAAACACAAAAAAATGATCTGTAATATCGATGCATATAATTTAAATCTAGACCAATATATATGTACTTTTTTTGTTTAATTCCTTTCAAATTACCTCTATATAGGCTCAAAATGGTCCATTCCAGTAGACTCGCAAAGTTCTACTATACACAAGATTTCCGGTGTTGAAGATGTGGTTTCCCTAATGCAAATTAATGCCATGTATGGTGAGTCTGCTCAAAGATTCAGGATTTGTGGAAAAAATCTTAACCATATTGATATTTCATTACTCTTCACTGTAATCCACAGTGAAGGAACAACTCAACAGGAAAGTTAATAATAAAAATGTGACAGTAGATTTCCAACGCTTGTAGTTTTTAATAATATGAATTAAAAGTTATATTTTATTATATTCTATATAAGTCCTATGAAAACAATTATGTATGAATGAAAGAAATCAAACAAACTATAAGTAAACAGACAAACAGCATAAAACGACTTCTAAAACATTAGACAACTTCTAAAGTAATTTAAGATCTGATTGAAAATGAAACTGTTTGTTTCATGCAGGCTGTGCCAGTCACAGCCAGAGGATATGCATAAACAGAAACAAAAGTGATTTAACTCCTAAATGGCACAGAATTGAGGAGTGAAACTGCAGGGACCTGATCTATAAACACCAAACTGCTTTATTAAACGTAAGTGTTGATGTCTACAGTATGCATTTTAAGGTTAAAATAGAAAAACTGAAAGCAAATCGCTGTCAGCTATGCTTTTAGTTAGGGTACTCTTAGGCAAAACTCTAACTTTAGTAAATAACCCTTAATAGTCACTGTTATACTAACCCTGCTGTGTCCCATACACACAATTACGGGGCAGTCCAGACAGAGAATGGGAATGAAAAATGGTTGTTTTCTGTTGGGATGAGAGAGAAAAACTTAGGAAAATACTCTATTGTTTTGTAAGTTCCACCCCATAGAGCTGTGTTTGAATTTTAAGGGTACAATGCTCTCCCAGCTTCTATCAACAATATCAGTTTATCTGAGACTTTGGGCAGCCCACGCCATTGCAGCTGGGATGAAGTGAGTGGGAGAAAAATAAACCATCTATCATTAGTTTCTCCTCCCAACACTGCTATGTAACTCCAAAGTCAGGTTATTTGGACAAATTCACGTGGCATTCAATACTTATTTTATTTTTCTCTCAAGTTGTGAAACCCATGAATGTATGGCAGCTAAGATATATACTCTAATAAAGAAGAAATCTTTGTAGAGGATTTCAAGGGTGAAATGATGAGTAAATTAACCTACTGGATCACTGAAAAATTACAAAAGCCGATCAATCTATTACTGAATATCACTGAAAACGTACAAAGGCTGATAAAGTATTTAACCTACCAAAACTGTTGTAGCACGTACATAAAAGACTGTTAAAGTGTATACCTGTCATGGTACGCATAGCATGGGCTAAATGCATAGCATAATAAAATCATCTATATATTGTGCCGGAAAAGACTTTGAGATAAATCAAGTTAAAGATTGAGCCTCTGCATTCACCTGTTAATCAAATGTCTGTTTAAACCTTTATGCCCGTTGACTGCACTTCAATGAGTGACAAGGGAGAGCAGGAGAACCCTTCCACAGGTGATTTTTTTGACTTATCACAGTGCTGTTCCTCAAGCTGCCATAGACTTGAGTAACAAAGACAGCTGTGGAGCCAGTATGTCTGCATGATGGCAGAAGTGTCCACAACAGAGGTGTAACTAGAAATCACTGGGCCCTGGTGCGAAAATTGCCATGCCCCCCCCCCATTTCTATAGTAATCATATAATAATATCTCTTAAAGCTGTTATAGGTTAAGGTGAATCTGTTGTGACAGGTTCACTTTGTCACAGAAGCCTTGAGGCCATGAACTCGGGCCATTGGTCAATCTCTGCTTTATGAGGCAGAACTATTCTGGACATTTTAGGTTTCAAGATATACTCCAGACACTGACACAAGATTTATAGCTTTAAGAGCAATTAGCTGTTTTTGTGCTTACCTTTTTAGTAGGTTTTTATTAATAAAAATAATGGGCTAGTATTCTATTTCTGTCCTTTTTTGCTCCTTTGTTACAGCTACATCTTATCACAATCAGGCTATGTCTGCAAGAGTTTGTTTAAATGCTGTACTCTTTCAAGGCCGCCATTAGTTTCATTCATAAGAGGAGGGAAACATGCTGGATTAAGTAAATTTTAGTATTAAGACGATCAGAGCATTTTAAATACACATTACATTCTACTTCAAGATAAGAAAACCAAAACATGAGCTGCACAACCACAGTGAAAGTGTTCTCTATAGCAGCGGTTGTCAGCCACTGGTGTTTTTGTGCGTACTGGTGTGCTTCAAACCATTTTAAAATGTGCCACCAAGATATTGACTTTAGGCTTGTAATAGGCTGAATGCAGTCCTTAAATGTGTTTTAATTAGTGTCAGCATAAAAATTGAGATTCCCAGTTTGCAATTAATTACAACTAATAGGTCAATCTGGCTAGAGGTATGCATATCTATCAAAAGGCTTCAAATAAATGTGAGATTTATATGCTGCTGATGAAGGTAAAAATGAAAAGTATGACCTGGAAAATGTTCTCTCATTGAAGTGTGCCTTGGTTTAAATTTAGATTGGGAGCCATTGGTTCATAGTACACCTTAACAAAAAGTGGCAACTTTTCAACCTAAATGTCGATATTCCTCAAGCCTTAGCACTTTTATTGTATGGAAGTTATTCAGTCACTTGTTTTTGTTTGCTGAACATCAAAAATGCGTGAAATTGAATGTAATATGCACTATCCTATTTACTTCACTTTCTGATTCATATTGAGGAATGTCTGCCACACAATTTTCATTTTGTTTCTACTGCAGGTTAAAAACATATTATTGTGAGTTTTATTGATGTGGAGTACTCTGATTTAGAAGGACCACTTGAGATTCAGTAACCAAGTGGAATGATTGAAAGGTATCGAATGGAAGGTTGAAGGCCCCCAAGTCTAGAGACAAATTACCTGTGCTCATCTAAACCAATCTATTGTGCTGCAAACTCCTATATATCAACCTATAACCTCTATCAAACTATAGTTGCAAAAATGACAAACAAAATTTATTAACCACAAAAATGACAAATAACTGCTCAACAGCACCATCTATAGGTCAGATGGACAATATACTTATGCATGTTATACAGTATGAATGGTGAACAATACAGCTGGTTACATATGGAAAACAAAACTTGAAACATCACACTAACCAGAGGAGAAGAGAAAAGATTAATAGAAAGGGTGATTCACAGGAATGTTTGTTTTCACAGACATATTGTAGGAAACTCAGATGACAAAAGTTAATTTGGCTGGCGAAATGACAATAGTTGTGACAAGATAATCCTATGTACAAAATTATTCAGTTTTGAATAAAACTAATAATGCAAGAGTACAAAAACAGTGATTTCAGCACATGCTGCCAAGTTGCATTTGAAAAATTAAATTAAAATTAAGATGGTTAAAATAATATGTGAGCTGATAATCGCTCGCCATATTTAATCCACTGTAAGGGGAGGAGAGATGGTCTAGTCTTTTCATTTCCTTCACTTATAAACTGAGTTTTGACACTTCCACTATCAACCTCATCACATTGAGAGTTTTCAGCCTCACTGCAACAATGGTGAGTGTGGGCTTTAGCTATTTAATGGAAGCATGCCATCAGACTAATTTCACACCTTTGTCCAGGGTCATGGACCCATTAAAGATAAAATAGGCACCCCTGACACACATTCCCAGACACACAGATACATACTCCCCCCACACAAAGAGACCGATACATAAAGATGCAATGGTACTCACTACCAGACAAACATACATATTCTCAGACAGACAGACTCAGAGATACATACTGCCAGATACACATTGACCCATATTTTCACACTCACTGCTAGACACACTGGTTGACATTCCCTACCCCCAGATACTCAATAAGAGACGTACATATTCTCATTGCCAAATACACGTTATATATATTATACAATAGACATATTATACAATGCATTATACAACGCAAATATCATACATGATAAATTTAGCCACTCTTCTTTGTCCATTAGGGAGGCAAAACCACCCAGCAAAGCTAGTTTGCATGTGGCAGCCTCCTGGATAAATATTTGCTCTCGCACAGCAACAACGTTTTCAGGCAATCAGGTGATCAGGACAGTTGTGCAGTGTGCCGCAGTCCTGATCACCATATAGTGCCTTGCAAAAGTATTGACTTTTTACCTATTTTGTTGCATTATAGCCTTACGTTCAATGTTTTATTAATCTGAATTTTATGTGATGGATCAGAACACAATAGTCTAAGTTGGTGAAGTGAAATGAGAAAAATATATACATAAAACAATTTTTTAGAAATAGAAAACAGAAAATTGGCATGTGCGTATGTATTCACCCCCGTTGTTATGAAGCCCATAAAAAGCTCTGGTGCAACCAATTACCTTCAGAAGTCACATAATTAGTGAAATTATGTCCACCTGTGTGCAATCTAAGTGTCACATGATCTGTCATTACATATACACACCTTTTTTGAAAGGACCCAGAAGCCGCAACACCTAAGCAAGAGGCACCACTAACCAAACACTGCCATGAAGACCAAGGAACTCTCCAAACAAGTAAGGGACAATGCTGTTGAGAAGTACAAGTCAGGGTTAGGTTATAAAAAAATATCCAAATCTTTGATGATCCCCAGGAGCACCATCAAATCTATCACAACCAAATGGAAAGAACATGGCACAACAGCAAACCTGCCAAGAGACGGCCGCCCACCAAAACTCACGGACCGGGCAAGGAGGGCATTAATCAGAGAGGCAGCACAGAGACCTAAGGTAACCCTGGAGGACCTGCAGAGTTCCATAGCAGAGACTGGAGTATCTGTACATAGGACGACAATAAGCTGTACGCTCCATAGAGTTGGGCTTTATGGCAGAGTTGCCAGAAGAAAGCCATTTATTTCAGCAAAAAACAAAATGACACGTTTTGAGTTTGCGAAAAGGCATGTGGGAGACTCCCAAAATGTATGGAGGAAGGTGGTCAGGTCTGATGAGACTAAAATTGAACTTTTCGGCCATCAAAGAAAATGCTATATCTATTGCAAACCCAACACATCACATAACCCAAAGAACACCATCCACATGAGCTCTTATTAGTGTAGGGAGAGGATGCTGCCGCTTTCAGGGACAGATTAGGAAAGAATTCTGCAAACTAGTACATTAGTGGGGTGCACTTCATATCTGAGAGTCAAATAGAAGCGTCAAATACTGCTGTCACATTGCAGTTTTAA